GTCTGAGCCTGCAGTTGACCCAGCCGACTCTCAGATGTTGGAGTGCCAGCACCTTATTGGCATGTGCGTCTGCCATTTCGGCGACCGCCATCCGCTGCTGGCTCCTATTCGGTTTTGTGAGCCACACCTTCAGAAAAGCCGTTTGCCCACCAAGCTCGGGGATAGCTTTCTTCAGGGCTTCCACAACATCAGCCTCCGTCGACACACAATCAATGTCTCGAACCTCGACTGATGTCTTTGGCTCAAGAGAACGGACGGTGCCCTGGCCTTCGACAGCTGCCTTCAGTTCGGCAGTAAAGGCTGCTTTGTCTTTCGACCTACCCAGTTCAAGGAGAACGTCCCCTCCCCGGGTTTGTCTAATCGACCGTACAACCGTATCGGTCTGCTCTGGCTTAGCATTGGCCTTGATTGCACCCAAGACCTCGGCAAAAGATCTCCCCCCTGAGGGTTTGACAATGATTGCCTCCATCCTGGGCTTTTTTGGCCGCAACCTTTTAGGTGCAGGCACCGAACCGGGCCCAGTTTGGGCCACGCCAGTTGGCTGTGCCTTCACTGCCTCATTTTTCATGGAGGCGACCTCCGCCCGCCTCAATTGCCTCTTCTCCTTTTTGGAAAGGCGTTTTTCCCAAACAGCCCCAGGTGTCTCCACCACTGACCCCTTTCGGGAACTTCCCTGAAGAGGGGTCGTGGGTTGCTGTGCCAGTTGGCGCCTCGCTCGAGATGCAGCTACGTCCGAAAACGACGTACCGTTGGGCACAGCAGACGAGAGGTCCGTCTGAGTCGCCTTGGCGTTTACCGTGGTCTTTTTGGTCTGGACGCCTTCTTCTCTTTTTGGAGGACTCTCCAATGTGGAAGGCCTCCGACGTTTTTTAGAAGGCAGCGCTCTTTCATCGGGCAGGGACACCACCTTTTCGGCAATCTTTTCCATGGTCGCCTTGCTTACCAGACGGCAGGCAAAGACAAAGCCAAGGTCATCCTCTAGTTTTGCCATTCCATTTTTTACCACTTGGTTTACGGCTCTCTGGGTCCGGAAGGTGTCCAGCATAGCCTTAATCGTCTTTTCCATGTCACGGAGCCGGGATTCAATGTTACTATCTGCGTCAAGATATTCCTGACGCAGAAGCACAATCTCAGAGCTTTCCGACCGCGACGTCGCTATGAAGGTTTCCTTCGGCATCCCTACAACAGTTCCCGGCAATGCCAGTTCGACATCTACATCGCCAACATTTTCTGGACCGTTTCCAGCTCCACTTGCCGAAAGGGATCCTAACGGGGGGAACGTAGAGCACTTGAAAGGTGCAGGTGGCGGAGATGTCCTTACGTTTTTCGGTGGTGGCGACCTCTTAAGCTTGGAGCTTCGATCAAAGGGGTTCTGCTCCACTTCAGACGCTTCATTTTGCTCATTTGAGCTCCTATTCAATGATGTGTTTGTAGGATTTTTATTAAAACTCATCGTGTTTTCTCCAGCGCATCGTGCGGCAAGGAGCGGCCCGGAACCAGTCAGGAACGGGTATACCCTCGGGGACAAAAAACCCCTACCCCGGTTCCCCGGGGCCCGACCTCCGTTTGCCCAGCACCGGATACCTGACATGCCGGGGGTTGCCCGTCGCAATGCAGAGCCCGACCTCTGCATCCATGCCGCACTCCCTGACCAAGGACCGAAGTGGCTGGTTTCTCACGACCCACTGATAAAACCCATCGGCAGTGCAGAGCACACATCAACCCCTGCAACACAACAGGGGCACTCCCAGGGACTCCCAGTGAGTTCGTCGGTCACCCTTTTAGTCGCCTCTTACGACAAGCCCGAGAAGGCTGCGGTGCTATTCTAACCCGGTACCGCACGGGGTAATAACTTACCACAAATAACTTACTATACCGTCGATGTAATTCAACATATAACCTGTGAGGTATTATCAGATTAAATATTGATTTCGATGCGGTTCGATATATTGCTTATTAAATCCTTATTAGGCCTACTAATCAGCTGGCAACACAAATAGGTGCGCCCAAGAGTAAGTAGTCACCGGTCCGTATCACTCTTCTCGTTGTTTCTTGACGTGCGATATGCTCAGCAATTTAAGAAAGTAGTTTCTTATAGTATCCTATTTTTGCAATTTGCAGTGATTTCCGTGCCTTAAAAGAATGTTTTAAAAGGTTTTTTCTTGTTTATTAAGATTGTAGGAATGGTTTAAAAACGTTAAATGAAAAGTCTAGAAAGTTCAGAAATACCTTAACTCATTAATTGATATTGTGTTGGCAACAACTTGGGGTAGGTATATTATTGCCCAAGAAGGGTAAAGCATTTTTGCGTTTTCGTATTAGGCCTACAAGAAAATACCTAATTCACATTTAGAGTACCATATTATGGAAAATTTCAGAATTCACTCTCAAAACTGCCTGATATTTGTAGAAAATGAAGACGAGCAATAGCCTAAACACCCGAAACGCACAAACAACTACTTCTCTGGCAATGTTTTGAGATAGTTGAATTTAGAACACTTTGTTGAAAACAATGCTTTTCATAATTAATTGTGTTAAATGTAAAAAATTTAAGAAAACAAACCTCATAAGGTATAGTGACCAATGTTTGTGCAATTCTCTCAAAGCAGGCAAGTCTTCAAAAAGTTACACCGTCTAATTGCATGGATCTATGTAGGATTATTTCTGCCTGAACTACAAAATGTGGCCAAGGTTGAGAAAATGTTGATTGGTTTAGGTTCAATGTCAGGTTCGACCAGAACTGTGGGTTCACGAGATGACATTTATAGCAAGCAAACACAGAAAAATACCGATACAAAGGATATGTATGTAATGTCCACATATTTACTAATGAAACTTGATATAGATGTTGTATATTTCTGAGCAAAACTTTACTTTTCGATGAAATGGCGACCATACAAAGAAGGTATTTTAAGCCAAGTATGAATGGAGATAAGTGGCGCGATCTTGTAGTCTTGTCAGTGACTAAAGCCGGAAACCCACTAGTCCGACGCTCTCTGACACAACACCTTCCGACAAGTCTCCGACACCTTCCGATGCCTCCCACACTTTTTAATGCAATAACCCATTGCTCCGACGGGCTCCGTCAGTAACCGACAAAATATTAGATACACAAAGCTAGACAGTGACTAATCTAAATCTAGGCCTGGTGCACGCAGACTGGAGAAGAATCGGATCCGACATCCCACAACAATACCCCTGAGAGCAATGTTGTTGGAAGGTGTCGGATTGGAAGGTGTCCTATGAGACTAGTGGGTTACAGTACATTTAAAGTCATACAAAGTAATTTTGTCGGAAGGTGTCGGAGACTTGTTGGAAGTTGTTGTGTCGGACTAGTGGGTTTCCTGCTTAATGCCGACATATTCCTTAGACAAAGCTGTTAATTAAAAGTCCATACAACCAATGGCAACTAAGGAACCTACAGTTTATTGTGGAATCCGAACTACATTTTTGCGTTGTACCTAATGAACGAATACAAGATACAAGAACTTTATTGTTAGTAAAATACATAATGTGATACATTATTATCTCCAAACTCGTCAATTAATCCTAAACATAAACATAAACATAATTTAACTCAATTTAACTTCTTCACCTTAACATATTCTAACATTCTATAATTAGTAAATTAAATTCATCTTCAGTCACTAGCCAAAATTTATCTATTAACAATAACAGAGCTTAATTAAAACTTTCTTCAACTTCTTTTTAAATAAATTAAGAGGGAAATTTTTAAATTGATTTGGTAGATGGTTCCAAAGTCTTGGAGCAGAATTGGATTAATTATCAGGAATGTACTGCGAATAGTTGTACTACTCACTAGCCTGGACTTTAATCCACACCAGGGAGCATCGCATCCACAGTACATGCCTATAAATATACACAACTCTTGACCTAGCAGTAGCTGGATTACAGGACGACTCCACCGTTGGGATGCTTGGTCGTTTGTAACACTGCCTGGCCCTGCAGTGTCAATACAATACTGGCAACTGGGGTCAATACAATAAATAGGGCCAGACAGTGCTACAAACGAAAGTTAGCACATATCTAGAAAGCTAAAGCAATAAACGTCAAAATTACTTTAAAAAATAATATTGAAATTAAATAAAAAAAAACTAGCCTACCTAAATGTTTACAATCTATGTATATATTAAATAAAAATGATCTTTTTCAGAATAGGCAGTCGATTTGAAGAGGAAAAGGAAATTATATTGATGTCGCAAGAAAGATAACTTCGACATAATCTGCTATTTAAATGGGCCTACGGCAGCTAAAAGGATAAAGTTTTTATTATACTAAAAGTACTACTCAATGAAAGTAAGTTCACTGTGTAATACTTAAAATTCAATTTATTCATAACTTCTATGGCTGATGCAATATTATTTGATGACTACATAAAAAATATAGAAGCAACTTGTCTTAAGTAGGCTAATTTAACTTGATGGAACATCAAAGTCAAGACAAAAACGTAAACTGCCTCGAGTTGGCTATGTTTTTTTGTTATTTAATGCACATAATATTTGAGTAAGATTTGATCAAAATTTACTGATACATATATATATAATAGCAATAACTTTTCGACATTTAAGAAATCCTACAAAAAAATACAAATATTTAAATAGAAATGCAAAGCTAACCGACTAATTCCAATTAGTTACTAGCCCTTCTGTTAGAAATCAGAAATAAAAAAAAAAAAATGTTTAATATCACTAAAAAGCCTCATATTAAGTGTCCAATATGTAGAAAAATGTTTGCAACTATATCATCAATGAAGTGTCATATGTACTTACACACAGGCGAGCGTCCCTTTAGATGTTTGACTTGTGATAAAAAATTTATTAAGCTAAACCAAGTGAAATGTCATTTGTTGACACATTCTGGGAATTGTCCTTATAAGTGCACAATATGTGGAAAATCTTTCCAAACCAGCAGCTGTATGAAAAAAACATACATTAGTTCACACGGGAGAGCGTCCTCATAAGTGCACTATATGTGGAAAATTCTTCCGAACCAGCAGCGATATGAAGAAACATACATTGGTTCACACTGGAGAGCGACCTTATAAATGCACTACATGTGGAAAATCCTTCCAAACCAGCAACTGTTTGAAGATTCATACATTAGTTCACACGGGAGAGCGTCCTCATAAGTGCACTATATGTGGAAAATTCTTCCGAACCAGCAGCGATATGAAGAAACATACATTGGTTCACACTGGAGAGCGACCTTATAAATGCAGTACATGTGGAAAATCCTTCCAAAAAAGCAGCTATATGAAGATTCATACATTGGATCACACGGGAGAGCGACCTCATAAGTGCATTACATGTGGAAAATCTTTCAAAACCAGCAGCAGTATGAAGAAACATACATTAGTTCACACTGGAGAGCGACCTTATAAGTGCATTACATGTGGAAAATCCTTCCAAACCAGCAACTGTTTGAAGATTCATACATTAGTTCACACGGGAGAGCGTCCTCATAAGTGCACTATATGTGGAAAATTCTTCCGAACCAGCAGCGATATGAAGAAACATACATTGGTTCACACTGGAGAGCGACCTTATAAATGCACTACATGTGGAAAATCCTTCCAAACCAGCAGATGTTTGAAGATTCATACATTAGTTCACACTGGAGAGAGACCTTATAAGTGCAGTACATGTGGAAAATCCTTCCAAACCAGCAACTGTTTGAAGATTCATACATTAGTTCACACGGGAGAGCGTCCTCATAAGTGCACTATATGTGGAAAATTCTTCCAAACCAGCAGCGATATGAAGAAACATTCATTGGTTCACACTGGAGAGCGACCTTATAAATGCAGTACATGTGGAAAATCCTTCCAAAAAAGCAGCTATATGAAGATTCATACATTGGATCACACGGGAGAGCGACCTCATAAGTGCATTACATGTGGAAAATCTTTCAAAACCAGCAACTGTTTGAAGATTCATACATTAGTTCACACGGCAGAGCGGCCTCATTAGTGCATACTATGGAAAATCCTTCAAAACCAGAACCCACATGAAGACTCATACATTAGTTCACACGGGAGAGCGACCTCATTAGTGCATACTATGGAAAATCCTTCAAAACCAGAACCCACCTGAAGACTCATACATTAGTTCACACGGGATAGCGACCTCATTAGTGCATACTATGGAAAATCCTTCAAAACCAGAACCCACCTGAAGACTCATACATTAGTTCACACGGCAGAGCGACCTCATTAGTGCATACTATGGAAAATCCTTCAAAACCAGAACCCACCTGAAGACTCATACATTAGTTCACACGGGAGAGCGACCTCATTAGTGCATACATGTGGAAAATCCTTCACAACCAGCAGCCACATAAGGATTCATACATTAGTTCACACGGGAGAGCGACCTCATTAGTGCATACATGTGGAAAATCCTTCACAACCAGCAGCCACATGAAGATTCATACATTAGTTCACACTGGAGAGCGACCTCATAAGTGTATCCATTTCGGTCTCATATGTGATTATCCATCGGTGAATCATATTCATGGATCCATCTCGTAAATGGTAAACTGAAACAGGTCTACGATTTAGAAAGTGGTGAAGGAAGTCGTAAAGGCGAGCAGTATGTAGTGTGGAAATCATGTGTATCAGTTAGATATTTGTATTTAAAATACTATAATGCTATGGAAAGGGAGGGAAACAGGTCCACGATGTAGGAAATAGTGAAGGAAGTAGTAAAGGCTAGACCTCATAAGTGTAAGCTAATATGCGTGGAAAATATTTCCACTACAGCAGCCATATGAAGATTCATACAACGGTTCACATGGGAGAGCGACCTCATAAGTGCACTATATGTGGAAAATCTTTCCAAACCAAGAATGAAATGAAAGTTCATTCATTGGTTCACATGGGAGTGCGACCTCATACGTTTATTAATAATAACTTCTTGATTAATAATGTGTGAAAAGTTTGGCAAGCCAAGTCACTCAGATTATTGCGATTCAAACCTGACCTGTCAAAAATCCAAATAAGGAGCCATTATCTACAGCTTAGTAACAAAGCAAAAATACTACCAAAATTCAAAAAACTACCATACAATGCTACATATGATGCAGTTTTTGATCAGCTTGCCAAAGACTATAGATGGAAAGAGCTAACAAATCTGATAAGTTCCCCTTTAGGATGTACGCGGGACCGCATCTCACCGCACCACTTCATCAACAATCTGTTTAAATTCAAACAGGAAACAGGGGCATAAATTATAATTGTTACCTACAATGAAAATGCTTCTGAGAAATTATATAATGAGTTACTGTATACAGACTTTGTGAAACACTTTAGGAAACTTATAGTGTCACTTCAAACAGCACGACAAAATGAAGATTCTGGAGGCTAAACAGGCCTACCTAGTGGAAACGGACGTCCCCTGTTGGCTGATAAAGGACATTTACTGTCAATGGAAGAATATCCTTCTCTGCCGTCCTGTAACAACAATCCAAGTTCTGTCGTTGATAATTCAAACACGATGACAGCCAAGCAAGATACTTTAGCTGTGACTTCACCCTGCAAATCCATCACCCCCTCGTCTCAACCCGCAGAGGCAGCCGATACTTCATCATCAACAGCCCCTCAACAACCTCCTGTGTCACTGTGTACCGAAAGTGTTAATGAAAGTGAAACCAGTGCTAGTGTTTTAGAAAACGTAAATTCTAATTTTTTAGGAGATACTCTAATAGGGTATCCTCCACTGCATTAGACCCTCTCACAAATAATCCCAGATGAAGCTCCAATCAATTTAATTTAAATTTAATTCATGTAAATATGCAATCTTTAAGGAATAAGTTAAGTGAATTGGCTTTATTATTAGAGGAATCACATTGCAGCATTGCATTATTGAATGAACATTTGCTTCTTAGAGATGAAATTAAGCTGTATATTCCCCAAGGTTATGCTCTCGCATATTCCCTTTGCAGAGAGGATGATCCCCATGGAGGCTCTTCAATCATTTTAAGTACAAATATTTCATATGATAGGATAGATATTTCACACCTTGTACACACAGGCTCATTAAGAGCATCATGTACCTACATTAATGATTTCAATGTAACTTTGATATCTCTGTACAGAACACCTGATTCTGATTGTAATTTATTTTTTAATTAATTAGAGAGTCTTTTAACATTTGTTTTACAACAAAAACCATATTGTAAATTAATTTTAGGAGCAGATTTTAATGTTGATTTTTTTAAGAATGATAATCTTACAAAAATTCTTGTAAATGTCTTAAATGATTTTAAGATATTTACAAGAATTTTAGTATTATATTATTTATAATACAATTTATATTATATCTTTAAATATCCAACTAAAGGGAACAAATGTATTGCAACTAACATTGAGCCAAACTTATATCAGTGTAAAGTTTTGAAAGAACAAATATATGATCACCCTATTTTACATTTTTTACATTTTCAAGTAGTTTATATGCAAGGCATATAAAAGAAGGTGTGTGCATAGTGACGTCACGTGAAAGGTGTTTTATTTTACCAAATCATATGTTTTCTTGTAATTTCCTAAAGACTTTCGAGTGACAATCATTACGAATTGGCATTGAAAATACAACATAAATAGTGTTTTATATCCAATATAGTGTTGTATTCAATATTGAATGTAGTCATAGTGTTGTATAGGATATTCAATGGTGGTAGTATATAACATTTTGATAGTGAGTACATTTTAATAAAAAAACAGTAAAGCAGTAAATACTTTAACTGTGGCTGCCTAACAAGCAATATATTTTAGTTGACCATATACAAATAGTTTTTAATATAATACCTTTTTTGCAGCTCCTACTTATGTTTTATGTCATTTAACAACTCTCATTTAAGTAGCCTTAGTGGAAAATAAATAGTTACAAATAAATTCACAAGATTGTATTTACATATATTTAACAAATCAGCACAAAACGACATAATAATAATAATTGCAGTCACGTTATTTGCGTCGTACACAATCGTGGCAAAATCCGTGATAATCTCCTGCGATTATCTCAGCATCCATGACCATATTTGTGATTGCGGCCATATATCTGATCATATCTCAATCGCGGCGAAATACATGATGATTTTCTGTATCGCGGCAAAAGCTGTGATGATTTCTTGTGATTGCGGTGACGTCCTGTATTCGTGATGGTTTGCTGCAGTCGCGATTTTCCACTTCGCTAAACGAGAGAGGCCATTCGGTAACCATCTAGTAAATTTTTGAAGTTATTAAGAAAAACCATAGTTCGAGGGGTTCCCCTACGGTTCAGTAGTTTAGTGCTTCAAGTGTAATAACATCTCTACAACTTAAGCTATATGTCGTTTTGTGCTGTTTTTGTTAAATGTACGTAAATACAATCATGTTGATTCATTTGTAACTATTTATTTTCCACTAAGGCTACTTAAATGAGAAATTTTCAATTATATAAAACATAAATAGGAGCTGCAAAAAAGGTATTAAATTAAAAACTATGTGTATGGTCAGCTAAAAATATTGCCTGTTGGGCAGCCACAGTTACAATATTTACTTCTTTACTGTTTTTTGATTAAAATTAAAATGTACTCACTATCAAAATGTTATATACTACCATCATTGAATATCCTGTATAACACAATACTATGACTATATTCAATATTGAATACAACACTATATTGGATATAAAACGCTAAATAGTTTTATATATTCAATGCTAATTCGTAATCATTGTCATTCAAAAGTCTTTAGGAAATTACAGGAAAACATATGATTTGGTAAAATAAAACACGTTTAGCTCGCACATGACATCACTATACACACACCTTCTTTCATACGCCTTGGTTTATGTGCCTGATATATTCAAAGAATTTTCTTTTAAATTATTAAAAAAAAAGGATTGATATGTTTTTGTATAGTTGAAGTGTCATCAATTGGGAGCCAGTTTTTCAGATTGCTGATGTTAGTGTTGCTTTTAAATGTTTCCTTGACTGTATTCAGAATTGTTATAACTATCACTGTCCTAGACTATCTAAGAGAGTAAGAAAGGACTACAAAGTTAGTACAAAAAATAACCTGTGGTTTGATGAGTCACTTAAGAAAATTAAGGATACTCTGTTATTCTTCAACGATTTGACTAAAATATAATGAGGAATTTATTAATGGTTCAATGGTTCACAAAAAATATTATGTAAGGCTGCATAGAAAGTTGTTAAGTCAGAAAGTGGTTTATTTTTTTAATGTGAAATGTCGGATAAACCAATTACAGCTGACGAATTTAATGACTATTACATTGATGTAGGAAACAAAATTTTAGACAAATTCTCTTTTTGACTTTTTAGCTAAGGATAATGTTTCTAATACAAATTTTTCCTGGAAGCCAATAACATAAATTGAAATATTACAAGTTATAAGATCACTTAGTTCCTCTAATTCTGAAGATTTTTATGGCTTTTCTAAAAACATTGTCAAAAGTATAGCACCATACATTGTAGAACCCTTAACTTACCTTGTTAATATTGCCTAATTAAATTCTCATTTCCAAGTTGTCTGAAAATATGCAAAACAATGCCAATTTTCAATAAAGGAGATATATCTTCTATTTATAATTATCGTCCCATTTCAATGGTTCCAGTTTTTTCAAAAATAATTTAAAACTGTGTTAAAATACAACTTTTTGATTTTCTACCAAATATTAAAATGCTGAACAGCAATCAATTTGGCTTTCGACCCGGATACTCCACAACTTAAGCTGTTAAACCAATAGTGTAAGATATTCTGGATACATTTGAACTATCTCAACTATCTCAGTCTAGCCCTTGTGGATCTCAGCAGGGCCTTTGACTCAGTTGTGCACTCCATGCTTTTGCAGTAATTGGATTTTTATGGTAGAAACTAAATTTTTTTAAACCTACCTTTGTGGCAGACAACAATATGTAGCTTTCGGCAAACAAACATGAGCTTTTAAAGAGGTTCTTGCTAGGTGCCACAGTGGTCAGTACTTGGGCAGTATTGTTTATCATACTAATATTATAAATGTGAAAGTTTGTGTGTTTGTTTGTTTGTTTGAAGTTCAATCACGCATTAACTACTGGTCGGATTGTGTTGAAGTTTGGTATGATGATAGCTCACATTCCCGATTAACATATAGACATATTCTTACCTCAAAAATCCTTTCGGGCTCCACCCCAGCGGCTCTAGAGTTTCCCATGTTAACCTTATGAGTATTCATATTTAAAAAGGAATTAAATAATTTTGCCAGCTGCTTCAACTACACAATTTGTTTCAATTATATTCAATAGCATTAAAAGGTTGTATGGTTTATGGGTGCAGCACCAATAGTTCTTTATACATTTATGACAACAGTTAATTTCAACCAAGCAGCAACACAAAGCTCTAAGAACTTTACTTCTTTCTATTGTTTAGGTGAACTGGTAGAACATTATGGCTATGGTAGATGTTCTATACTATAGTATACTATAAATTATAGTAAACAAAATTTTCTTAAAAACGTGTTCTCTCTCATTGAAAAATGCAAAGTACGAGTATAACCGCAATAAGCATTGTATACCATCCCCTTACGAAGGACGGGTACAATAGACAATAGACAAAATCTTTATTGAAATATTCCTAGAGAACATTCATGCGTCAGGTACATAAAATGTACAGTATGTACGTAAACTATTACAGTAATTTGCAATTACAATTAATTTTTTTTTCTTTTTTTCTTCTTTTTTTCATGGTAGCTTATTGTTTAAGAATTCATCCTCAGAGTAGAACGGCCGGTCCATAAGCCATATTGTCAGGTGCTTCTTGAGCAGATTGGGTTGTTCTCTCTTGAGGTGCTCTGGTAGGTTGACGTTGTTAAAGTACAGAGCACCTTTGTAGGATGGTTTCTTCTCGTACAGACTCAGATAGTGTTGTGGGAGGGAAAAATTGGCGGCATGTCGTGTGTTGTATATGGTGTATGTCTCTGTGTCTTGGCTGGGCTGTTTTAGTGGTGTAAATAATGACTTCTCTTATGTAGAGTGAAATTGATGTGAGAATTTTAAGGTTCTTGAAGGCTTCTCGGCAACTGTCTCTGTAGTTCAGGTCGGCAAGGCATCTAATTGCTCTTTTTTGCTTTAGGAGTACTCTTTCCAGGTTGCCTTTTGATGTTCCACCCCAAGTCGCAATGCCATATCTGAGGTGGGACTCGAATAGAGCAAAATATGCAACTTTGGCTACTTCTGGGCTGCAAGCTTGCTTGATCCTACGTATAACGTAGAGACTTGAACTTAGCTTTTTGTAGAGCTGGTCTATGTGGGGTTTCCATGATAGCTTGGAGCCAATTATGATGCCTAGGTATTTTGTGGTATTTTGTGTTTGTAGTACCGGTATTGTAATGTCTGTGTTGTTGCGTTTGGTGGTGAAAGTCATTTGAACGGTTTTGCTTTCATTTAGAACTAGGTCGTTGGAGGTACAGTATTGCTTTGTTCTATGGAGTTGTGTGTTGGTTTTCTTTTCCAGATTTTCTATTGTTTTGTCCGCAAATGTGAGAACCGTGTCATCTGCGTACATGGTGGTGTGTTCATCTTCCCCAATCCAGCTAGGTAGGTCATTCGTGAGAAGGAGGAAAAGGACTGGGCCAAGTACTGATCCTTGGGGTACTCCTCTTTGCACGTCTACAGCTTTGGATTGGGCCTTATACTTTGTGTTGTTCTTTGTGTAGGCTATTTCCACAAGCTGTTTCCGATTACTAATGTAGCTTTTAAACCATTCTACTGCTCTTCCTCTCACACCTAGTGTTTCCAGCTTGAGTAGAAGAAGTTCGTGGTTTAGTAAGTCGAAAACTTTACTAAAATCTAGGAAGAGGCTTGTTGAAGTGCTGCCTTCTTCTAGTTGGTCTAGTATGTGCTCCGTCAGTTGTATTAAGGCTGTGGCTGTCAATCTGCCTTTGATAAATCCATGCTGTTGACTATTGAGAAGGTAGTGTTCTTGAAGATGGTGTAGAAGTTGGGCTAGTACTATCTTTTCGATTATTTTTGAAAACTTTGATATTAGGGAGATTGGCCTGTAGCTGTTTCTTTCTATCGTTGGTCCATTTTTGTATTTTGGGTAGACTTTAGCTATTTTTAATTTA